GTGTTTAAAAATCTCCGCTCCCATTTTATATTTTGAGGAGGAACAAATCAATATCATGCCTTAAAGTTTTCACCGCACCGAGAAGAAAAATCACGGAAATTTTCAAAAATCAACACTGAGTAGTTCCTTTTAGACTGAAAGTTCGGTTTTTGAGTTATCGACACGAAAGTCTCACCAATATGTTCTGAGGAAAAAGTTGCGAACGAAGTTCATTTAAGTGCCAATAAAAGACGTAATATTGCATTTTTATCCGATGCGGGTTTTTTTTTCTTTTTTTTTTTTTTTTTTTTTTTTTTGAGTGTGTTAGACTCCACGACTTCATGCGGTGTATCAGGGACTCCTTGGGGAAGTCCCTCGAGGCAAGCTGCAGAATACACTAAGACTAGAGCCAAAACGATGCTGTTTAGCCCCGAACATTAGGGAACCAAGAGGAAAATTCACTTGAAGTAAAACTTCTAACCGAACATCTAACTATGAATCCTCTAAACTATTAATTTTAAACCATGAATTTTGAACGATCATGACACTATTCGGTTAAACATTTTTGGATGTAATTTTGTACCAAAACTTTTGCAAAACATTCGTCCACACAGTGGTGCCAATACTCTAATCGTAATTATTGACCTTATCTCAAAGAATTCAAAAATAAAAATCGAGATATTGGCATGAACGTTCTTTCTTCCTAGTTAGTGCCTATCGTTATCATAGATTTAGAATCTGGACAGTAAAAATTTCAGGACTCTCAATAGATTATTGAAAACGTACAAACTTTCAGCGGCTCTTAAACATTCTTACTTTCGGCCTTTCGCTTCGGCTAAACTCAATTTTTTTCAGTTCATTCATTTTAATAAATAATTAACTGGAGTTGGAAATTTCCTTCTGGGAGTTTTAAATGTGTGCGAGGTAGAACTAACAATAAGATATGAAAGTTATTTGCAGCATTCCAGGCAGGGCTAGTGTGAGTAGCAAGTAATGAACGAAAATCATTAGCTTGGAAGAATCGGAATAGCTGCTGTAGAATCCACATCAAATTACCCAATCTTGGCAGCCTCGGACGAAACAATGATTTTTAGCAAAAAAATAACGTCTAAATAAATAATTTATTTAGTTTCATGGCATAGGGCATACACCCATCTGGCAACACTGGTTGCCTACGCAGGGAGCGAAGTACAAGGGGCAAGAGGGGAGCACACAGAGAATACCTTGCTGAACATTGCCGGATCGTGCTTCATCGCGCCAGTGGCGTGCGGTGGGTCTAGTGACAGGGCAAGCTCTAGCGTTCGCCATCCCGGGGGGGGGGGGGGGGGGGGNTATATTTGCTAAAATGTAAAACATGTTAAAGGTGTAATTTTCTTCTTTCTCTTGAAATCTTTGGGCAAGCAGTGCTTGCCTTGCTTATCCGGACCGCACGCCACTGCATCGCGCTAAACCACACCTTTAAAAAATCCTATTTTTGGGGCGGAATGGCAACCCTGAGCACCGTGAGGAGAGGTGAACGTGAACGCCTTGTTGTTGCCGAGGCGGGTTGCGGGGTCGGGGCAGCCGCCCGCGGCCTCAATCTTCGTTGCCAGATCGTCCAAATATGATGTTTTTCTTAGGGATAACGATGATCGATGCACGTTACGTTTGGCAACGTTGGTCCACAAATGCAAACGCCGCGCCGCTTGAAATAAATTGGACCATCTGACTACTTCGTCGCTATCTCGCATTTTGTCCGAGTTCAAAGCTCCCTTTGAGCTGTTCTGGATTTAAACTTTAAAGAATGTTCACGTTTGTAACGTACGAAATTTTACAATCGACTCAAAAATGTTACACTTACTATCGTAGTCATTTCCTCACGTGAGGAGGAGGAAAAAGGTTTTAAGGGATGGAAACTTCAGCACATGTATGGAAAAACAAAGGGGAAGGAGGGGGGGGTGTCTACTAAACCAATAAGACCAATGAGACGGTTACTGCGAAGATATAATAATAATAAAATTATCATCATCACTAAAATAACGTTTCGATGAAAAACTACGGCGATGCTCATCTCGATTCCGTGTTTTAAAGTTTCTGCTCCATCAAGACGCTTTTCTGATTTTTCAACGTTTATTTGAACAGAATTTTCTCTAAATTTATTTTCAAATTTTAATGGTAGGAGAGTAAAAGGATTCGTGTACGAAAGTGAAAGGCTACGAGGAAGAAAAAATAAAACTCAGGATATTTTGCGCAAAAGTGGCGATTAGCTAACATTAATTACAATGTGACATAGAGAAAAAAAGCAGGTGTTTACCCCGTGACTTAGGTCGGTACAGGTGCACTGGCAAAATCAGGAATTCGAAGTATGAAAAATGGATCATAACGTAAACGTCCTACTTTTTTGGCTTAAATCAACTCATGATATAATGTCGAACACTTGATATTTAATGAATTTTTTTCATAAACTACACCATTTCTAAGAAAATCAATGATTCAAATCGTCCATGCGACTGACAGAGTCGGACTGGCTCGCATCTGATGGCGAAGACCCTTGGCTGTTTAAGGGGGCGCAATGTGATATTTCCTGGTAGGGCCTGCGTAGAGAGGGGTTCAGAAAAGTTTGGCAAAGCGGCACAAGTTTACGCTATTTTCAGGTTCAACGTTTATTAATCGCACGGAGTAAAAGTTGCAAAATTGAACGTATTGAAGTAACCGACAGGCTTCTGAAATTATAGAAAATATGAAAAATTAAAGCCACTAGACGCATCCAAGCACCGTTATTTCCAAAAAAGCGAGCCAGTGCCGCGGTTTACACAAGCTTAGGACGTGGGTCTGCAAATCCATCCTGAAAAGAGTCAGACAAGAACCTGAAAAAAAAGAACGAGTATCAACACAGTCGAATACAGAAAAGTCGTATTCGGGCCCCTTTTTTAACTTTTCCCCCAAATCTAAGCGACACCTCATTGACAGCATGCAGCAGAGCATTGAGAGCTCACGCCTCGCGTCATCGCGCCTTCAATGTTTTAGATACAGCACGGACATCCAACAAGTACGAATAGTTGTATCTCTGCGCCTTCGTAAACGCGCATCCTTTCCCTCCCGTTATTTCCATATTGTGTTTGTTTCCGTTTGTCTTACCTATTTATAATGGTGCTTCAAGTACTACGTGCGTAACACAGCCGAAGGTAGGAGAGATGTGTTCCGGCCCCCTTTTTAACTTTTCTTCCGAATTTGATCGACACCTCAAGCATTGAAAGCTCACGCCTCGTGTCATCGCGCCTTCAATTTTTCAGATACAGCACGGACGTCCATCAGGTACGAATAGTTGTATCTCTGCGCCGTCGTTGACGCGCATCCTTTCCCTCGCTCTATTTCCATATTGTGTTTATTTGCGTTTGTCTTATTTGTTATTATGCTTCAAGCACTACGAGAGTAACACAGCCGAAGGTAGGAGAGATGTGTTGCACGCGGTAGTTTTGTCATTTCGTACCTTTCCGGCCCAAGTATCACAACCGCCATGCGACGTTTCAGAATTTCTGCCTCAATTTTATTTTCCTACAGAGAAATTTTTGGTTGAATCTGTTTGAAAATTTCACTGAATTTTCCTTGAGCTGCCGATAATAATCAGTTAAATTTCAAATAGATAAAACCAACCATTCCTGTGTAAAAAATTATAATGGCGGCGGAAATTCTTTTACGTCGCAAGGCGCTTGTGATACTTTGGCCGGAAGGTGAAGACTTGTGCTCTGTCCAGGCAAGGAGTACGTTGATTAGTAAAAATCAAAGATGTTGATTCAGAGGAATTTTTTTACTTTCTTGCTCCTGTTTTTTGCATTGAAGTCAATTTTTGATTGGTTAATGCAGAGAAAGGAGCGGAAAAATTGACTGGGGATTTACGGCATCATCTTAGTTTCTGAATTTTCCACGCACCATTGCCGAACACATGAATCTGTTTGAAAATCCCGCTATTATACTCGCACCCGAATAAACGGGAAAAATTCAAACTGCGATTTCTCTCCGGGTTTCGCGACCACAAGAATAAAATTTCTTAGCTGCCGTATGCACATCAAACTCCACCAGAGCACGAAAATTCAAATCTCCACGATCAGCGGTTCTGGAGACATGCTGATTATCCGTGAGTACGATTATAATCAGTAAATACGGAAGAAATGTATTGCTTGAAATTGCAATGAGACATTCAATGCGGCAAAAGGGCAAATAGGTAAAAACTCCAAAAAATATTATTCTTCAGTTGCGAAGCGGAAGGTTATTTGAAACAATCGAGTATTCACATTCTGATAAGCACTATGTGATTGTGAGTCATTGTGAGTGTTCAAAAATGATTCAAAATTGATTTTTGTCTTGAAAATTTAGCCGAGTTTTGATGCACCCACGAACCTACGTTTTAGAGTATCATCAAAAAAAAAAGTTTTTTTTTTCAGTTTTTCAGGGATCTGAAACATCCTAACGCTCTTCGAATCCATACATTTTCCCCTTGGAAAATTGGAGTTGTGGTCCGTGCGGAGGAATTTGCCGGAAATAAGAAGAAAAAGGATAAAGCACAGTTGGAGATACAAGTTAACTTTAGTTATTTAGTACGATTATTTTAACATCCAGCAACGTGAGCGTTACTAATTTAGGGGATTTCTTGTTCGAAATTAGAATCATATTTAGAACGTTTTTGAAAAACGACAAAAAAAAAAGAAAAAAAATGAGGCGTAAAACCAACAAAGTAATGTTATCGAGTGGATGGATATTAAACTTTTGGTACTTAAATGGTAAGTAAAACTATGCTTGTTTCATTCTTAGTCATTGAGCCCTGCAGTGGTACTTTACAGTAGTGCTACAGGGCTCACCAGTTTCTGGAGACAGCGATTAAAATCATTCTGTAGCAGCGCAGCACCAGTCCGGACGGCACAGTCTCCTCTCTTCTCTCTTCCAGGCGCGCGCTCTCTCTCTCACTCACATTACCCCTCCTTGCGCAAGGTGACTCCCCTTCGAGCTAAAAATCTCTCGAGAATGGACTCGTCTCAAACCTGTTTAGAAGTTGCCTATTCTCTGTGCTCGCGAGTTGAAAAACATCGAGATTGAAAATTTTCGTAGTTTGACCGTTTCCGTGCGATAGACCCTTTTTAAAATACAGTTTTTGCTTTAAAATTTTGTATTTTGGTGTGTATGTCACCGAGATCGAGTAATAATCGTACAGTGTGGTGTTTGACGGATCCTCGTTTCGCAGTTCGTTTCTTGAGGAGAGCGAAGTTCTCGGGTGCAAACCGTTATTCCCAAGTGAGTTTCTAATTTGTGCTAAATTCAGTTAAATCACTGAATCTGTGTTACTTTAGTGTTATTTCAGGTCTAATTTTATTCCGTATGTCGCCTAACACAGTTTCATCGCGATTCAGTCGGAAGTAGGCCATTTTGTGTGAATCGTCTAATTTCAATCATCTGACCTCTCCATCATTTCGTTCGTAGTTAATATTTCGTCTGATTGCCCTCTGAACCTCAGCATTTTCATGTGATTTTAACCCTAGCCGTGATTTTCTCTTTTCATTTCGTAGTTTTTTCTTGTCTGGAATCCTCGACCCCACATCTGGTTTGTACTCACAGCACTCCTAACATCTTACATTGTTATTGTGAAATCGTCTGGCAAACCTTTAAAAGCCTAGTTGTGTAACAAATCCCTGATTTAAATCTTAATCGCCAGTTTCTTTTGCCTTTTGCCTCAAAAGTATGCTCTTAGTGAGGAGCATCCTTTAACTTCTTAATGGAAGCGACTCCACAGCCCACTTCCCTGTGCATTACTTGCTCCTCACCTTTGGCCTACTTGCATATTTGGAATTGGAAAGTTAGATTTTGATCACAGACCACACATAACAATTAACTGCATCTTAATCAAGTTTAAACCATCCCTTTTGGTTATTCAAAATCTAGAGGCTTGATCCCCAGCCAGGTTCATCGGACCCCTATAATTGAGCACCTTAAAATGTCCCATTGTTCAGTATAGGTCCTTGAAAACAGGCGCTGCACCGTAGTCATTAGTTTCTAGGAAGTAGACCCTCATATTAAGAACTGATCCCAATTTTAATATCATTTGAATTGTCTGTCCTGAGCGCTGCAGGACCTCCTTGAGCGATTGTAATAGGCTCTCTACATTTCACGGAAATTACTCGCTTTCCAAGGACTCCTAAGCCCCTGCTGTTGCAAACGATAGTGTTTGCAACTTCAGAATTTTCATTGCTCGACTTTCCTTGTGTAGGAAAACAGGAAATAATGAGGACAATTTTAAGCGCTGTGGCTCAATGGATCGTCCAATTCCCTTCTACCGATGCTTAAGGAAAGACTGTGCTCAATTCGCAATAATCGTTTTCCTAGTGTTTTCATCAATTGTTTTTTCTAATCAATTTTAACATAGGCAATGATCTCTCAAAATGTTTTAATTATCAGGTCAAGCTTTGTAGGTAATCGACAAATTCCTAACTATTCAAATTTTAATTTCTGCGTTTGAATCTCAATTCAGGATTCAAAAATGTTGAGGTAGCATCGCTTATATTATGAAGGAATTATTTAGGTAAATTTTGATACACACTATGCATTTCATATCTCGTCCCATGCCTATTGGCCCTTGCTCCGAAGGAGTTATAGAAGATCCTCAAACAGAAATAGTTTAATTGGCAGATATATTTTAATGCATTTGAAATATTCACATTTTAATGCATTTAAAATATCCATGATTACTGAACACATGTCCGTTCGATCTTCATTTGGGCAAAGGACTTGAGCCGAACTCACCATGGCAAAGTTGAAATAAACATGAAGTCCTCATTTAGGTATTTGAATAATGTTTGACCTCCGTGATAAGTTGTAAAAGTATTTATTTATTTATTTTTATTTATTTTAAAGTTGGTACATTAACTCCCTTTAAGGGATCGCACAAGTCATAGAAATGAATCAGATGCGTAAAAATTATTTATATTAGGCAATGTAAGAACAGTATCCTAGAGTAGGCAGCAAGGAAGTCAGGCTAAGGTATCGGGTGAAAATTCGAAATATACAGATCCCTTTGCAAAGGACAAATTACTAACTGAATGTTACATTTCTGCTAGAGGTCATCTTAAGATGAGGCCGAAGTCAAATCTTGTGCATAAGGAGATTGCTCAAGGGTGCTATCTGAATTCATATATCAACTGTTCGCTGTTCGAGTAGGACCAACTGGAGACGACCAAGATTCTCACAGTAATCTCCCTCCCTAAATTTAAAGAACCTAATGAAGTGAAAAAGCACTGAATTCAGTTAAATTAGGTAGCAAGTAGGTACGTCATCGAAAATCAAAGAAACCATTATCATGGAATTGTGAAAACTATGTAATATCAGTATGCGTAGGTTTCATGTTCTGGTCGAAAAATTATGATGCCTATCTCACATTTTTTTCAGTAATTACTTAGTTTTCTGAAGCCTGTATCTCCTCTTTTATCTCAGTATAGATTTCTTTTGGTGAACAAGAGCTTTTCCTTGCAAGCTTAGAAGTTATAAGTTAATAATTAAAGAAATAGGTGGAATTCAATCCTCACACATTTCCTTTTTTTTACCGAATAGAGTTAACTATACAAAAATGAAAACAAATATAACTAAATTTATTAATTTATTTATTTTAAAAGAAAAAGTGTTTACAAAATATTAATAGTGATGACGAAGTGACATTTAGTTGTGCCATTGAGCACAGCTAGTTTGGCAGGACAAATACATTTTATATTTACAAAAATGAAATACAAAATTCAGCTTAGTATTGTTAATTTTAATCTGGGTGGTTAAATTCTGGTGCTCCCTCTCTCAAATCCCTAGAATAGAGTGTTGTGTGTTGTCTTAGAAGAGGAAAAAAGAAAGAAAGAGAAAGACAAATAAATAAATAATGAGGACTCTTTGAAACATGAATACAAATACAATAAAATATAAATAATTATAATATTAATTTGTGGAAGCATGTGAAATAAATGTGTGTGCTTCTTATCAATCTTTTCAAGCACATTTTTTTAATCTATCTTCATTTTTAGTAGTATTGGATAAAATATTAGATAGCAGTTTATCTCTGTTGTTGAAGATGAAAATCAAGCGAGAATACAACTTAAAGAATTTGTTCAAGTGGTAGTAACATCCTACTATATCATTAATGCACAATATTCTTAAATCATTTTCTTCTTAATTCATTGTGTAAAATTCAAGTTAAATTCCCAAAATTAAATGGAGGCTAGATCAATATTTAATCGGCATAGTAAAATATTTGAACTAAGCTGTTTCATAGACACGCTCTTGGTTTCTTCATCCAATATTATAAAATTCGGTTTTCCCCCTTTTTTTCAGTACTTTTTGGGGGTGGTTCAGGAGGGGTAACTTAAGACTCAAAATTTTGCAGATTTTTCAATTTTTCTTTTGGACGTTTCTAACATTCCTTTCGATAAGGAACTAATCAGATATTTTATCGAAATATCGAGCAATGCTTTTTTTGATTCGTTTCTGCCCCGAGGTGAAGAGCACGCGATACGGCAAGTGCATTTTCAGATGCCAGGTAGTTTTCTCTCCCCGGTAAAAACATTCGTGATGTCTTGTTTTCGTATCCTGCCCACGCCAGTCCAAGTTCGCCGTTCGCGCTTGTGGTCGTGGCAGCGCTAATCTCACCCCAGTGAATTTTTCTTTTTTTTGGTTGATTCTCAATTTCCGTTGTGTTCCGTAAACCAAGGTGGCGTTATGCAATCATTTGTTCCCAGTGTAATTTTCTATCGTGCACGATCGCCGAAGGAAGCCCACGGTAAAGTTCTTTCCGTATGAGCTCTTAGTTTTCCATGAACTGAAATTTTTGATACTTGAGGGAGTCGGATCGATTTTCCCGACCCATCGGCGGAAAAGCAGCGAGTCGGGGAAATCCGGTTTGTCTGCGTTTTTAAGCGTAAATGAGTCAGCGATTGTCGGAGTCAATCTAAATGTGAAAGAAGGGAAGCCATTTTTTTTCTCTTTTTTTTTCTGTTTAAACGAAACAAGTTAATTCACGCGAAACGCTGAATTTTTGGATCGCAGCGTTTCTGGCAAAACCTGCCGTCGAAGTTCACGCACTGACTAAGTAAATGTAAAGCTGAGAAATTACTTTCTTTTCCTCTCTTTCTTTCCCCCATGTCATATTTGCAAATATGTCGCCTCGTCTTAACAAACGTCTTGAAATTCGTCGAGGAGCAAACTACAATTATTTATCAAGCGGAGTTTTAATTTATTTCAGGAAACCCCGCGAGGTATTTCCGAAATTCGCTGAATTTTCGAAGAGGTATGGGTGGGATATTAATCGGGGAAAAAAGTAGCGAGGAATCGGAATCTTCGTAAAACTGAAGATTGCATATTAATTGAATAGACCTGTGAAACCATGCTGGTGCTTTAAGGGGTTTTCAAGGGTTTTTTCTTTGCCCCTTCCTTTTAATTCTATGAGGTCTGCGTCGGAATCTCATTGTGAGTCTTCAAGTTTTCCTAAAATAAGTCATGACACGTGAAGTTTTCTTATTGTTATTGAGTACAGTACTAAACCGTCTAGGGGTGCCTATGTTCCTCAAATTTTCAGTTTCTAAATTTCACATTGGGTCAATTTACTTTTAATTTGTCTTCTTAGTCTCTGGAAAGACTGCTCCTCCCTTTGTCAGTCTTGTGGTTTCCTGCCATTTGGCTGAAAGTGTGTCCACAGCGGTGTTTTTAGGTTGTTTTCTCTCCTTTATTGTCTTCCCAAAGCTACCGAAAAAATTATAGCTCGAGGTATATTCTAACCATTGTAATCATTTTTACATTTTTGAAGTGATTCGTAGTTAATATTGCTGGTGGATGATTTGGTTGAGTGAGGGAGGAGGACTGGAAAGCTGACTTTAAAACATGTCCGTCTCATTCTGTTTTTGTATAGGCAATCATTTAAGTACTTATTAGAAAATAAGAATTCTTTTGTATGGCGGTTGTATACATCGAAAAAACCAAATTAAGAGAGAGATTCGTATTTTTAGGTGTGTTGCTGTCCGGATGTATGTAAATAACTGTACTCTTGTGTCTGATACAATTTAATCAATTTCTAAGTTAGTTTCACTAGTTAGTTTGTTTCTTATCAGAGTTAGTTCATCGTATGATTAGACAAAAGTCCATCTCCGTTTAGCAGTGAATCAGCACCCCTCAACAAGTTATTACACTCATTAAGATGGTATCATTGATTAATGTTGCTACAGGAAAGCTTTGACTTTGATCTCAGCATACCATGAACAAGCTCTTACTATTTGCGCAGAATTTCCTGAGTAAGACATTAATTAATTGCATGAATATTTTTGTTTCAGATGATGAATCTGTGAGATTCAGCTGAATCGGTGCTCTCTTGGAGGAGTAACCTTGCGGAAATACTAGATTACTGGTTTTCAACATGAAGTAATACTACAGGAGGATTCATATCTCTCATCCTTTGCTGATGTAATCCTGATACAGAATTGTTTATTGTGTGCTTAAGAACTAGCAGTGCTTTTTTTGTGCTAGTTCTTCTCTTTTGAAGTTTTCGTTTTCCATTTCTTGGTTTAAAAGATTTAAAAATGTAAGTGCTTCTTGCACATTCATTCTCTTCTTGTTTTCTGTTCCGTTCATTAAATTTTAATTATTTCCCCAAATTTTTTCTCCGGAGTGTGAGTGCAATAAAATGTGCGGTGTATTGCTGTGATAGTGATTTTTGTAATGGCCGGACAACACAAAGTGTGTGCGGCCAGTGCTGACGCGAAAGATTAGACGTGGCTGCCCCGTCATATGGAGACGGTTGCCCATACAGGCATGCCCTCGCAATCTCAAATGGCTTACGCACAAAGGACTACAGCCCTTCACAGGTAATAACATTTATTTATGCTGCATTTTTATTTTTGTCGAGTTAAGTAAGGTAAGCGTGCACCTTTTATGCCCCCTTTGAAAATAAGATACCTAATAAACTTCTGGAAAGTAATTATTTAAACTTTATCAATTTGCTATGCCCCCTTTGAAAATAAGATACCTAATAAACTTCTGGAAAGTAATTATTTAGACTTTATCAATTTGCTTAGGAAGTTGTGAAATGGCTGAGTGTCAATTGATAGTAAAAATTAGTATCATCAAGCGCAATTCCAGTTTTGTTGCGCTTTTAGCATTACCCCAGCCAGGATAGCAGGGTCCAATCATCATTGCAAGACGCGCCTTCAACCCAGCTAGTGGCAGTATGCCTACACCTGTGGTCGAATAGTTATTTCACGGCGATTTTACACAAATGCTGTCAAAAAGCGATGGCTGCTTGAGCAGTGATGGCGTCTTTGAGATTATTCCTGGTGCCCCTTGCAAAGTGAACCTATACATGAATTGTACTAATCAAATGTGATGCTTACAAAATTGGCACAGCCGTGATTTCTACCGCACCATTTCTGTCTATGAATTTCCTGTCTGCACAACCATAAATTCCTCCTACGACACATACATGATAATTATAAAGGCTTGCCGCTTGAAAAATTGACTCCTAAAACTTTGGTTTGGAGTTGAGAATCTATCGTTGGTTTAAGACATTATTTTACTATGTATGTATGCTGCTTAGATGATCAGCCCCCATGAATTTGACCCATGATAATAGAAGAATCTTTATCATGAAACTGTGTGGATGTGGTGGCATTGCGGAAAACTTGTAATCTAAAGAAGTTGACCTATGAGTCGATATCAAAGAGTTTAACAAAGCACAGAGAGCTGATCAATTTAGTTTGGAACAAATGTCATATCAGGTTCTACAACTTAAAGTAATCGTTTCTTAAATATTTCCCTCGGTATAACGAATTGATAGGAAAATTTGAAGAAGGTTGAAAGAATTGTTTCTTGCCGTACTTGATACTTGTAGATTGTTTCCTTTGATTCATTAAAATCTAAACGTTACGGGGTAGAAATGTTTTCAGACAGCAATCGACAAGCAAATTTCCTATCAGGAGAGAAGGCAATGAACATGCGTTAGGACTTAAAAATTTTACCCAACAGCTTATAGTTCAGTCTCATAATTCTCTTTTGGTCATAAGCGCAATGCAGTTTACTTTTAAAAAATCTTAATGATTTCTGCATCCTTATGAAGTCAATACGAGGTTACTCAACACTCTGACTAGGTATAACCAGAATTTTTGGCAGGTTTTGGCTATTTTTTTTGTTTTTTTTTAGTAAACCCTGAAAGACACTCGCCAGCAATTCCGACAAAAGTAAAGCATTTTTCTCAGATCTCCCCTATGTCCTCTGTGAGACGGATTGAGATATCCTTTTTTTGTTT